CACGAGATTATACATTCTACTCTTCCCCTCACTCCTCCTTTTCCAGAATAGATCATATCTTCCCTTGGTCAGATCCTCTTCTATCCTGCCCATCTCCTGGTCGGACCATTCTGCGGTGACCCTCTCTATCTCTTCTATACTAGCCTCATCCCCCTCCCCTTCTTGGTCTCTTAATGAATACCTTTTGTCAGATGACAGTAATGTTTCTATCATTCGTGCAGCTATCTTGGAATACCTGGCCCATAACTGTACACCAGATATAGCTCCAGTGACGCTTTGGGAAGCTCATAAAGTGGTTATACGGGGGCAATGTATCAGACTTGCAAAACAAACCACAAACGCACTCAACAAACAGACTTGCCTCTAAAATTAAACGAGAATGCTTACGAAAACAAAAATCTCTGGAGGATACTTTCCTTATGGCCTCCACAGATTTTTCACTCTCCCCCACACCCGCTAATCGTCGCAGAGTGGAGTCAGCACGAAGGGACCTGAATTTGTTATTGTCATATAAAACTGATGCTATTTTACGAAAGACGAAACATCATTTTTATGTGCATGCTAACAAACCTACCTCCATGCTGGCGACTCGTCTCAGTAATCTTGATCCGACAAGACGTCCCCTGACTTTGCATACCGCCCAGGGCTCCCTTACCAATAACCCCAGACTGCACTTTTTCCAAAGATTCTGCTGATAATTTATTTGCCCCACTAGCTCTTCCACAGATCCCGACTGACATCAAATTGCTTCTGGAGGACCCGATTTCTGAATCGGAAGTTCTCCAAGCTATCAAATCTCTCAAAACACAAAAGAGGGCGGGACCTGATGGCTTCCCTGCTCTTTATTTTAAAAAATTCTCAGATCTTTTAGCCCCGATCTTGGTTGCTTCCTTCAATGCCCTCCGCTCCCACGGCAATCTAGGCAAAGATACTCTTACAACTTCAATCTGTATGATCCCCAAACCAAATTCAGATAATACAATTTGGGCGAATTTCCGCCCCATATCCCTACTAGACTTAGACATCAAAATCCTAGCTAAAATACTGGCGAGCAGACTAACCTTGGGGATAGGTCAGCTGATTCACAAAGATCAGGTTGGTTTTATGCCATTTCGTCAGGCCACGGACGGCATTCGTAGAGCGACTCTCCTCTCTCATCTAGCGCATTCGAGGAAAATCCCCGCTATGTTCCTCTCTCTAGACATTAAAAAAGCTTTTGATTCCCTCTCATGGCCTTATCTTTTTTACATATTGGAACGTTGGGGTTTCGGCCCTATGTTTAGTAAAATGATATCTGCTCTTTACACCTTCCCTACAGCTAGGGTTCATTATGCTGGGTTTAAATCTGCCCCCTTCCCTATAAACAGAGGGACTAGACAAGGGTGTCCTCTATCCCCGTTACTCTTTGCATTAGCCATAGAACCATTCGCGCAATTGATCCGTGAGCATCCTGATATATCAGGAATCCCCGTAGCTGGCCATCATTACAAATTGAGTCTGTTCGCCGACGACATCCTTCTCACCATGTCACAACCTCTTGCCTCGCTCCCTAATCTCTTTGCAATTCTTTCTTCCTTCGGCTCCTTTTCAGGTCTCTCTGTGAACCTCTCAAAATCTAAAGCCCTCAACATTTCGCTCCCTTACCAGACGGTTCAGCTAATCCGATCATCATTCTTGTTTCCGTGGGCCCTCACTGCTCTCTCCTATCTAGGTGTTCAATTGACCTCTTCTTATACATCCTTATATTCAGCTAATTATCCTCCATTGTTTCAACGTCTACGATCCTTACTCTCTACCTGCTCCCATTTCCCCCTTTCCCCAATGGGTCGCATAGCAGCTGTAAAAATGACCTTCCTACCGAAATTACTTTATTTCTTCAGAGTCCTCCCTGTTCATATACCAACTCACGATATCCGAATACTTCAAAGACATGTGATGCACTTCGTCTGGGCGGGTCGTAAGCCTCGCATACCTAGACATTCTATTTTTCTCCCTAGACCGCTCGGTGGTCTGGGTGTGCCTGACCTAATGCAATATTACCGTGCGGCACAAATCGCACCTCTGACTAAGTATCATACCTCAATTGAAGTCCCTTTATGGGTCTCGCTAGAAGCTGTAGATTGTGACCCACTTGGAGTGCAGAACCTACTATGGTCTATCCCACGGACCCGTCCCAAGATTCATAACCCGATAACTCTTCATTCCCTGAAGATATGGGACTATGTGAAACACTCAGGAAAACTTATTTCCCCCCAACTTCCCCTTCTCTCCTTTCTTAATAACCCGGCCTTCCCCCCTGGCCTGGAAAACCCAGCTGCTTTCTCCAGATGGTCTGACAACAATATGACACGCATTCACTCTCTGCTCGACTCAAATGGCATTACGCCCTTTTCAACTATACGCACTAGACATGAATTCACCACTGCTGACGTTTTCTGACATATTCAAATACGACATTTCCTAACCTCCGTGATAGGCCCTAATCTTACTCGCTCTCCTCTTACTTCATTCCAACGTACTTGCTTGATAAAAAAATATAAGACACTGTTTATATTTTCGGGGAAACGCGGTATTTGCCTTTATTCATTCCCTCATCAATATTACTTCCGCCCTTTCAACCAGCAGTAGCTCTTCTGAACTTGAGACCTGACAATATTCCAACCTCACAATTTATCCTTATGACACACATTCTCACTGCTGCTAAACAAACAATTGCAAAAGCCGGGCTGTCTTCTGTATTGAGAATGTCTGAGGTGGAAACCCGTCCTCACACAGTGTTTGTACACGAAACATATGACTGCGAAGCTCCAAGACAAAATGGTAAAATTCGAAAGGATCCGGAAATGTCTCCCAATGTATTTTGATGCTGCTTTATGAGGCCTTGAAATGCTATTATCAATTTTATTCTGAATTCTTCACATTTTAATATCGATAATCTGTCTCAGAACTTGTCCCCCCCCCCTCCCCCCCCTCTTTTTCTCTCTTCGTCTGTCTCTGTTCTTTCCTTTTCCTTCCAATCCGATCTCCATCATTTACTTTTTGCATTATGTGATATTATATTTTGTCTTCCTGTCTTTACCTTATATTGAATTATCAAATTGTTGCGCATGAAAGTGTTGCATACTAGTATCTACATAGCTTTGTTTTACAATTTTAGTATTGTCTTATTCGGATTTTGTATTCTGAAAACTGTCAATAAAAATAATTTTAAAAAAATTAAAAAAAATCTTACCATCTTTTACTTTTCATCATTTGTATTATTATGTTTTACTTATTTTTTTCATAATATTTATTTATTTTCTAATGTTTTATCAAATTTTTTTTCATTTACATTTTTTTTTTCCACTTAACTTTATTGCTATCACACAGGAGCTAACAAGCCCCCTGTGTGATAGCAATTGGAGGTGACGGGTTCTCTTTATTGACCCTTCCACCTCCAATACAGGAGTTCTAGCGCAGCGCTGTGCCGGAACTCCTGTGACAGGTGAGAGGAAGGGCTGACAGGTGTGATCGCCGCCACCGCCGCCTTAAAGGGGCGACCTCCCAGTTGCATCTTTGCGCCCCCCACAGCGGCGCCCTCAGGCAGATGCTTGACCTGCCAATATGGTAGCGCCGGCCCTGGGTGCTTCAGGAGCAGAAGCAGGGTGACCCTTCCTCTAGGCTTCATCAGTGGTGAGGAGTGTGGATCATGCAGCACTCCAGTCACAGGATGACATCAGCTTTTCATCCCTCAACCCCAAACCCTTCCCCCGAGATGTATGAGGAGGGGGAGGGGCGGCTCCTCCAACAAGTACGAGGCGGAGATACAAAACTACTCAGACACGAGGAGAAGAATAAAACCTCCAGTATGAGAAGAACTTGTAGAGTCAGCAGAAGGAATAAAAGGGAAAGAAAAGAAGATTTAATGATACAAATGTGAAGAGAACCTTTATCAATCACCTTACAATGAATATCATGAGAAGAAGAATAGAAACATTTCATCTCCATTTGTTTCACAATCATAAAAATGTCTTCATATATTTGTATCTTTATCAGGGAAATGTGAAATGTTCCGTCTGAAGACGTCATATCTTCCACTTTCCTCCAGCAGGGGGCTCTCCAGAGTCCATGAAGCTGCCTGTGCAGACTGATCACTACTGCAGTGACATGGTCAGTCCCGTCATGTAGTCTGATCTCCCCTTCTCTTCATCCACAAGTCATATCTAGCTCCTCCCCCTCACCATGATGGAACGTTCTATGAAGCTTCTGCTGAAGAGCACGGGGAGGATAGACGACACTGCTAGAGGGACCCAACCAGCAGACGGGGAGCCTGGAGGGGACAGGGGGCGGAGGGCTACGCTTACATTCCTTGCAACTAACCTCCCCAATAAGGGCCGACAGATGAACCATAAAACAAGTAATAGAGGCCACAAACTCCTCCCACCTGAGGCATGAGGGACCCCAGATGGGGCGACAGAAGCATTAGAGGAAGGAAGTGAACCCAGCTGAGGACTATCAGATAGAACATCCGGTGTGACCTCCCCGGTGTAAATGTCACAACATACCCATATTACAAGGGCCCTTGCACTCTCTCTCTGCCATAACGAGGGGCCCCCAAATAGATACAAAATCACATCAAGGGTTGATCCGGGGTCCCCGTAGTGGTTCTGGCACCCGGAAGACAATGTCTGCTCCCAGGTGAAGTTGGAGGAATTCAGATCCTGCAGTTATGTGCCTGTCCTCCCAGCTCACAAGATGGCCACCGCTGCTCCTGACTGTAACTGATCCGGAATCTGGGAAGTAGCCGAGGTGGCTGGACATGGCCAGAAGAACTTGAGAGAAGAATCGATGAGACAAAAGGTCACTAAACTACCGCACATCTCCATCAGTAGAGCGGAGACGTCCATCACCTAAGGACACTACCAAAAAAAAAAGTTTCCTGAAAGGGGGAGGGGTTATATGAGGGTCCTCACAAAGTCCAATCACCTGATATCTGCATATAGAGGGCCCTTCTGTGAAAAACATTTCCCGCACTCGGGTCAGGAATATGGCTTTTCCTCCTTGTGTAATCTCTGATGACTGAAAAGAGTACCCTTCTGTGAAAAACATTTCCCACACTCAGGGCAGGAATATGGCTTCTCACCCGTGTGTGATCTCTGATGCTCGATAAGATAACACTTTTGTGCAAAACTTTTCTCGCACTCAGAACAGGAATATGGCTTCTCCCCCGTGTGCAATCTCTGATGTTTGGTAAGATTGCACTTAAGTGAAAAACATCTCCCGCACTCAGAGCAGAAATATGGCTTCTCCCCTGTGTGTGATCTCTGATGTTTGGTAAGATGGCACTTACGTGAAAAACATCTCCCGCACTCAGAGCAGAAATATGGCTTTTCCCCCGTGTGCAATCTCTGATGAATGGAAAGAGAGCTCTTCTGTGAAAAATGTTTCCCGCACTCAGGGCAGGAATATGGCTTCTCACCTGTGTGTACTTTCTGATGCTCGATAAGATAACACTTCTGTGAAAAACATTTCCCACACTTGGAGCAGGAATATGGCTTTTCCCCCGTGTGCGATCTCTGATGACTGGAAAGAAGGCCCTTCTGTGAAAAATGTTTCCCGCACTCAGGGCAGGAATATGGTTTCTCGCCAGTGTGTAATCTCTGATGTTTGGTAAGATTGCTCTTGAGTGGAAAACTTTTCCCGCACTCGGAGCAGGAATATGGCTTCTCTGCAATGTGTAATCCCTGATGTTGGATAAGATAACTCTTTTGTGCAAAACATTTATCGCACTCAGAACAGGAATATGGTTTCTCGCCCGTGTGTAATCTCTGATGTTTGGTAAGATTGCACTTAAGTGCAAAACTTCTCCCACACTCGGAGCAGGAATATGGCTTCTCCCCCGTGTGCAATCTCTGATGTGTGGTAAGATTGCACTTAAGTGCAAAACTTCTCCCGCACTCAGAGCAGGAATATGGCTTCTCCCCCTGAATTCCGGCACCATCCCCCACAGGACGAGGTTGCTCAGAGTCAGAGGGATTCCATGCTCTATCCACACTGTGAAGTCCACCATCCATAGCTGAGCTCATTGTCTCTTCTCCCGCACAATCTGCTGGGATGTCCTCATCTTCCATCTTACAACCTGGAGATAAAGTCAGAGGATCCTTTGAGGGTTTCTCCATGGCGTGTCCTGGAAACATAGAAACACATGATGGAGAGATATGAGAGGGTTAGATGACTTCACTCAACATTCCATCTGGATCAGGAGGTCTGAGGGAGCAGATGTTCTCTGTGGAGGTCCCAACCAGCTGGGACTCCTCCCCTTCTTCAGTCAAAGGGCCTTTGGTCCTCCTCCCAGATCACATCTACATTTACACAGCCCTGTCAGAAGAGGCAGAGCCAATGGGGACTGGGAGGAGCATGCTCTTCACCCAACCAGAAGCCTAGGCACTGGGTCATGTGATCTCCGATAAACAAGATGTTCGGAATTCAGACTTGTATACCCTTCACCACAGAACAAGTGACCCCAGGCCTAGGCTTCTGGTGATGAGCAGCACTGGAGGGAGCTTGGAGAAGTATGTTCTCCTGGAAAGAGAAGTGTTTCAGTCTTTGTTACTTTTCATCCCAACAAGACTGATAATAGAGTTTTATGTTTAGCTAGAAGTCAAGTCAGGTCTGTGTTGTATCAGTAGGGAAAGGAGTGATGTCATGTGACCTCCCAGAATCCTCCTCACCTCTCCGGTCAGGTCTGTGTTGTATCAGTAGGGAAAAGAGTGACTTCATGTGACTAGTGATGATGGAACTTACTACTGAAGTCTATAGGAGGTGAATCTTGGAAAGAATTTCTCTCCATTTTTAAGGCTCATGGACAAGGGATTGTCATACAAGGGAGCTGGGCTCTGCTCTGGGGGACATGTTGTTCAGCGGGGAGATGACCTCCATTTTATGTGACTATGAGAGTGACATGTATGCCTGTGTTGTAGGCCAGATATGAAGAGGGAGAGATGAGGGATTGTTTGACTCATAAAGTAATATTACATTGGATGAAGTCTAAGAAAACAGAAATATTACAGAGACACGCTGCACATCATGTAAGCCTTTCTAATAGGACGCATTTGAGGTGTGAGGGATGAGGGGCTTTTGAATAAAAATAAAAATTTCCTTGGATGATGTCAGAGACACAAGGCAGGAATATTGTACAGGAAGCAATGGATCAGCAGCAGGAAATGATAATGAGTAACAGGCCAGCAGCGGGGGCAGTAGATGTTATTGGATGGTAGGCCAAAAGTGGTGGCAGTAGATAGTAATGGATGGCGGGCCAGCAGCAGGAGACATTATTATACAGGATCTATGTAACGGCTGTTTACAAATACAAAATGGAGGGAGACAGTTCAGTTACAATACAATTTCAGTACAATAGGGTTAGGAGGGTACTTGGTGTAAGAGCTTACAATCTAGTAGGAGGGGCTAGAGATACAAAAGGTAATATTTGTATAGACTGAGTTAGTGGAAGAAGGAAAAGGACAGTTATTATGTGGAGGTGGGAGTGGCTTCCCTGAAGAGATGAGTTCTCAAGGATCACCTAAAGGTCGACAGAGTAGGGGATAAGCGGACAGATTGGGGCAGAGAGCTCCATAAGGTGGGAGACACTCTGGAGAAGTCCTGAACGGGAGCATGAGAGGAGGCGATGAGAGAGCTGGAGAGCACCAGGTCTTGAGAGAATGGTTTGGGTGACATTGTGAGATGGAGGTTGGATATGTAGTCGGGGGCAGGGTTGTAGATGGCTTTGTATGTTGTTTTTAGTATTCTGAATTTTATTAGTTGGGCAATTGGGAGCCAGTGAAGGGATTAGCAGAGAGGGGCGGGGGATGGGAGCCAGTGGAGGGATTGGCAGAGAGGGGGGGGGGAGGGGAGCCAGTGGAGGGATTGGCAGAGAGGGGGGGGGGAGGGGAGCCAGTGGAGGGATTGGCAGAGAGGGGGGGGGGAGGGGAGCCAGTGGAGGGATTGGCAGAGAGGGGGGGGGGAGGGGAGCCAGTGGAGGGATTGGCAGAGAGGGGGGGGGGAGGGGAGCCAGTGGAGGGATTGGCAGAGAGGGGGGGGGGAGGGGAGCCAGTGGAGGGATTGGCAGAGAGGGGGGGGGGAGGGGAGCCAGTGGAGGGATTGGCAGAGAGGGGGGGGGGAGGGGAGCCAGTGGAGGGATTGGCAGAGAGGGGGGGGGGAGGGGAGCCAGTGGAGGGATTGGCAGAGAGGGGGGGGGGAGGGGAGCCAGTGGAGGGATTGGCAGAGAGGGGGGGGGGAGGGGAGCCAGTGGAGGGATTGGCAGAGAGGGGGGGGGGAGGGGAGCCAGTGGAGGGATTGGCAGAGAGGGGGGGGGGAGGGGAGCCAGTGGAGGGATTGGCAGAGAGGGGGGGGGGAGGGGAGCCAGTGGAGGGATTGGCAGAGAGGGGGGGGGGAGGGGAGCCAGTGGAGGGATTGGCAGAGAGGGGGGGGGGAGGGGAGCCAGTGGAGGGATTGGCAGAGAGGGGGGGGGGAGGGGAGCCAGTGGAGGGATTGGCAGAGAGGGGGGGGGGAGGGGAGCCAGTGGAGGGATTGGCAGAGAGGGGGGGGGGAGGGGAGCCAGTGGAGGGATTGGCAGAGAGGGGGGGGGGAGGGGAGCCAGTGGAGGGATTGGCAGAGAGGGGCAGCAGACACTGAGCAGTTGGTGAGGTGGATGAGTCTGGCAGCAGCATTCATGATAGAGTGAAGGGGGGAGGAGCCTGTTTAGTGGTCGGCCAACAAGTTGGGAGTTACAGTGGTGGAGGAGAGAATACAAGGGAGAGAATTAGAAGCTTTGCGGTTTTGTTTGTTTAAAATGGGCGAATCATGGAAATGTTTGGGAGGTTGAGTCGGCAAGATTTGGATGGTGATTGGATGTGGGGATGAAAGGAGAGTTCAGAATAAAGGATTACTCCGAGCACCCTGGTATGATGGGGGTAGATTGTAGTTCTGTTGATTGTGATGGAGAAGTCGGGGGAGGGGACACGGAGAGGAGGAAATATTAGGAGTGTTGGAGAGATTGAGTTGGAGGAAGAGGTGTGACATCCATGATGATATGTCAGTATGTAGAGTAGATTAGAGATAGGTGAAGAGACAGAGGGGGTGAGCTGAGGAGCGGAGAGATAGATTTGGGTGTCATTGGCATAGAGATGGTATTGGACGCCATGGGAGGTTATTAACTGACCCAGGGAGGAGGTGTAGATGGAGAATAGAAGGGGCCCAAGGACAGAGCTTTGGGGGACTCCCCCGGAAAGAGGAAGAAGAGAGGAGGAGGAAGAGTTGTAGGTGACACTGAAGGTGCACTGAGACAGAGAGAGCAGAGTCTTGGAGGCCAAGGGATTGGGGTTTGTTAAGGAGAAGCAGATGGTCAACCTTGTCAAAGGCAACAGAAAGGTCCAAAAGTATGAGGAGATGGTAATGGATGGCAGGTCAGCAGCAGATGTTACTGGAGACAGACCAGCAGTGATGGCAGGAGATGATAATGGATAGCAGGCCAGCAGTGGTGGCAGGAGATGGTAATGGATGGCGGGCCAGCAGTGGTGGCAGTAGATGATAATGGATGGCGGGCCAGCAGTGGTGGAAGGAGATGGTAATGGATGGCAGACCATCAGTGGTGGAAGGAGATGGTAATGGAGACAGATCAGCAGTCGCACTGGGCATTGGTTGTGGGGGTGCAGGCAGGGGGGCTTATTCACATCAGGGTACCCCTTTAACCACCTCCCGGCCGGATGGGAGCTCTCTAGATCTGAGCAGGCGTCTTTAGACCAGGCATGATTACAATTGGGGATTGGCTAATTTTATTAGCAGCTATGGTAAAAAAGGGATTGAAGATGTTCTGCTTTGGTGCACATGTCACCGTGGTGATTAAATGTAGTATATTGGACCACCATAGTGCGCAGTCTGGTCTCTGCCTAATTATTAGAGAGATGTCATCTGACCTCCCAGACTCCTCCTCACCTGTCCAGTCAGGTCTGTGTTTTATTAATAGAGATAAGAGTGATGTCATGTGACCTCCCAGAATCCTCCTCACCTCTCCGGTAGGCAAATTTGACCAAAAATTTTAATCTGGGAAATTGGCGTCAAATTTCTGTACAACCCGAATCTGAATCTCATCCCTAATACAAGAGACTGCTCAGGTGACACATCTCCAAAATGAAGACAATGTTCTGACCTCATAAACGGGTAAAAGATTTGATCCTGAATGGATTAATATATACGTTTCCACACTATATATGTGCAGACATCCTAAGTCTCCCGGAGGTTCCGGGAGTCTCCCGCTATTAGATAGCGGCTCCCGGACGACCGCAAGAGAGACATTTTATCCCGGAAAGGATTGAAACCTTTCCGGGTCTGCTGCGCTCACTAGTTCGGCTTCTGCTGAGTATGAATAAAGTTTAAGTTGTAAGAGAAAAAAAATGTTCGTGGCTGGTGAGTGGGAGGGGTTTAGGCACGGCAGGGCAGCCTGTGATTGGCTGGAGACAAAGGTCCCAGAGCTAGCTCAGCAGACACCTTGTCATGTAAATAACAGTGCCGGGGGGAGGCGATAGAAGACGCCTGTGGAGGGGGCAGGGAGGGTGAGTGGCACAATTCCTAATTTTGGCTGCTGGCTGAGCTGTGGAGGGGAGCTCCCTGCGCTGCAATTCATCACACACAAAGAGCACAGCCACCTTTACACAAGTGCCTGTAACCGTATTTCTTGTCATATGCTGTAGTGTTAATAATCACAAATAAAATAAAAACATAATGTAATTAATAATAATATAAAAGAATATAATTAATAATAATGAAATGCTATAATATCTACTATGTTTGTGTGTGTGTGTATATATATATATTTAGTAGATATCATAGCATTTTATTGTTATTATATAATTTTTTTATGTT